CACAGGTCCCTCCCAGCCAGAGTCCACTGCCACGGTGGCTTTCTCCCCCACCTGGCTCTGGCCAGAGCCACGCCACCCTGCCCTTTGGACGTGGACCCAATTCAAAGCTGCAGCCCTGTCCTTGAATCTCTCTCTTGGGGAACAGCTCTCTCCTGCCAGCTGCTGGTCCGGGCTGGTTTTTTTCATATTTATGTTTTAGTTACAGGTGGAACCGTGTCTTTATCTTACTTTATGAGGTGCTAAGGATCGAACCCAGGGCCTCACACATGCTAGGTGAGTGTTCTATCTCTGAGCCACAACCCCAGCCCCAGGCTGGTTTTTATCCCCCCCCCCCCAGTACCAGGAATTGAACCCAGGGGCGCTCTACCCCTGAGCTCTACCCCCAGGCCTTTAATCTTTTAATTTTATTTTGAGACTGGGTCTGGCGATGTTGCCCAGGCTGGCCTTGAACATTCAATCCCCTGCCTTAGCCTCAAGTAGCTGAGATGCAGGTGTACACCACTGGCGGTCCAAGCCGTGTGACCGCTGCACCAGCCCAGTGGACCAGGAGGGTGCTGCTGCTCGGTGAGGGTCAGGACCACCTTGCCTGCTGTTTGCCTTTGCAGCGGCAGGACTGGGCTGTGGTGGTGGCTGCAGGTCCTTGGGCACACCACTTAGCTGCCGGGGCCTCAGCTTCCCGTCTGTAAGGTGAGGGGGCATGGCCGAGGCTGTGTGAGGAGGCCAGCAGCCCACAGGGCAGGTGAGGCATGCAGCCTGCTCTGCCAGGAGGGTCTGACCGGTCGGAGGGGCCTGTGTTCCTGCAGATCAGCAAGTGCTGTGTGGCAGTGCCTGGAGGCTTGGCCACAGTGGGCAGTAAGCGTGGGACCAGTGAGTGGCCAGAAGACGTCCAGTCCAGAAAGCTCATTCGCACATTTGATAGACTTAGAAACGCCATGGGGGGTGGGTAACTCCTCCTCCCCCCACCCCCCTCCGGCTTCACTGCTTTTCAGGAAAACCTGAAGCAGCCCGGGAGGTCCACCCCTACCCTGGGTTACAGTGGCATCACAGAAATGTCCAGGTGGGCCCGCGTGGACACTGGGAGACAAAGGCTCTGCCACGTGCACCCTCAGGGACAGTGCCCCGCAGGTCACAGGTCACAAGCCCTGTCGGAACGAAGGGCTTCTTCAAGCCCCAGGGAGAGGCCAGGGGTGGGAGAGGCCACGTCAACTCGACCCTATGAGTGTGCCACCTCGTGGCCGCAGGCGAGGATGCAGCATAGGGCCCACAGCTGCGCCCAGGGCAGCCCCGCCCGCCTCCTTGCAACAGTGGCAAGTGGCGGGTGCCACCTGAGACCACAGGGCCTACTTTGTCCCCTTTGGGACAGACTGCTGGCCTGGGTTCTAGTCTAAGCTCTGGGTCTTACCTGCTGTGTGACCATGGCAAGTCCCTGCACCTCTCTGAGCCTCAGTTTCCCTTCTCTGGTGGTCAGCTGCGTCCTTCCTCCTGCCCTCGCCTGCTCCATAGTTGCGCACGGAGGGCCACCTCCTTCTCATTACTCAGCCTGTGGTTCCAGTTTTAACAACAGAAAATGGACCAAGACAACTGCCCAACCAGTGCCCGAAGGATGGGACAGCAGGCAGGGACAGCGTGAGGGACAGAATGGGGTGGGTGGCAGAGCAAGCAACTGGTTGGCCAGCCCTGAGGTCCTGGATGTCCTGGGCACCATGCACTGGTCCTCCTGGAAAGCTCCTGTTCCTTCTGAGAGCAGCAAAGACTGTGGGGACCTTGGGGCCTCCAAACTGGAATGGTGCAAGGGGGCCACAGATCTGGCAGGACAGTTGGTCTGGGGGCCTGGGCCTGGAGGACTCTAAAACAAGGCACCTTCCTGATTACACACCCCTGCTCTGAGGATAAACCCTCGGCACAGAGCCCACCTCGAGTGGACAGGGACACTGGGTCAAAGGAAGGGGGCTGGGTGGGGGAGCGCAAGGAAGGACGGTCCCACGTCTGAGGCCAGCCTGGGCAGTTCATCAAGAACCTGCCTGAAGACAAAGAATTGAAAGGGCTCGGGTGAGGCCGTTCAATAGTCAAGTGCTTCCTCAGACGAGTGAGGCCCTGGGTCAATCCCCAGCTCTGGATGAAAGGATCCAGAGATGTGATAAGACTAAAGGCAGCACAGGTGTAAACACAGTGGGTCAACCTGAGAGAACAGAAGGCAGAAGGAGCAGGCCTCCTTCATCACCAAGAAACGAGAAAGACCCGAAAGGGATGGGAGAGAGTGGGAGAAGTGCAAGACAGACCCGAAGGCCTAAGGCACACCTGACCAGAGAAGTCCCTGGAGAAGAAGACAGATCCGTGTCCACAGGCAAACCACCACGCAGGAGAAGCTCCCGGAGGGTAAAACCAGCGACCTAGAGACCAGGACAGCCACTGGGAGCCGAGCTGATGCACCAGGAGCTGTCAGGCTGCACAGAGAAGAGAAGCCCTCAGACAACCAAGCAAGAGGTCGGGACACCAAAGAGAGGTCGAAGGTTGAGACAGGGTCGCTAGGCTGCATTTCCCTGCACCAGCCCATGCTGGGAGAGAGAGCATGAGACCCAGAACACAAGACCCAGAGTATCAGACCCAGAACTCCAGACCCAGAACATCAGACCCAGAACTCCAGACCCAGAACATCAGACCCAGAACATCAGACCCAGAACTCCAGACCCAGAACATCAGACCCAGAACTCCAGACCCAGAACATCAGACCCAGAACATCAGACCCAGAACTCCAGACCCAGAACATCAGACCCAGAACTCCAGACCCAGAACATCAGACCCAGAACTCCAGACCCAGAACATCAGACCCAGAACTCCAGACCCAGAACATCAGACCCAGAACTCCAGACCCAGAACATCAGACCCAGAACTCCAGACCCAGAACATCAGACCCAGAACTCCAGACCCAGAACATCAGACCCAGAACTCCAGACCCAGAACATCAGACCCAGAACTCCAGACCCAGAACATCAGACCCAGAACTCCAGACCCAGAACATCAGACCCAGAACTCCAGACCCAGAACATCAGACCCAGAACTCCAGACCCAGAACTCCAGACCCAGAACTCCAGACCCAGAAAGTAGACATATCACACCCAGAGCATGAGACACAGAACATTGGACCAGCATATTAGACCAGAATATTGGGCCTTGAACTTTCAATGCAGAGTGCTTGACCCAGCGTGTCGGCAACATTCGGCACAGAGACTCGCGGAGAACACAGACCAGAATCCTAGGCCCAGCCGTCCATGTTAAGGCTGCAGATGCTGCCAGGACGTGGAAAATCTCTTTCTGGAGCTTTTGCTGTGGGAATCTGCAAACCACAACCAGGGCCAGGCACAGGTTGAAACCCATGAGGTCAAGACGCTGCGGGAAAGATCACAGTCACAGGAGGAACGCAGCTTGTCATAAAGTGAGGAGATCAGGCATTTCTCCCCCTTTCCTAGGTGGCTGGAACTCAGGGCGACAAAGAGTCAAGGAGGGGAAGTCTCTCCTAATCGCGTTCAGCTGATGAGTGAAGAGGGGACCCTGGAACTTGGATATCTCCAGTGTGCACCTCCTTGTGGCTTAGGGGACCGCGGCCATGACCATCCGTTTATCCTAACCCTGCAGCACGTGGCCACTCCAGCGGAAGGCCCACCACACCCAGGAGGCGTCCAGGCAATTGGCACTGAACCTGAATCTGACAAGACTGGAAAGGGCCCTGCCCAGCACGGCAGCCACTGTCCCCCCAGCTACTCACATGTAAGACCCATCAGAACAAGACGCATCCTCATCACCAGGCCACATTCCACCTGTGCCATTGCCACCATGGCTGGTGCCCAGGGCTGGACAGTAAGGAGGATTCTCACAGGAAGATCCATGGGACAGGACCACCTTAGTGCTGATGGCCACTCAGCAGCAAAGGGGAACAGAGTGACGTGGTGTCCCTTGGGTCCACAGCGGGCACACAGCCAACACTCACAGCGCAGTCTCTTAAAAACAAGCAAAGGTTAGAGCAAGAAGCTGGAGAGGACACGTGGTCAAGGGAGGCCTCAGAGACCCGCGGAGGCCCATGGGGAATGGAGCCCGTTGGTGGCGCTGTGTGTGAAGGGACGGCCTCGTGGCAGGGCGGGTCATCTTGGGTGGGAGCATCGCTGTGCTGTCTCCACAGGGCAGCCCTGTCTCTGGCCTGCACACTGAACCTTCGCGGATTCACCGCCACCTGGATCCGCTCCATGCTGCAGGTGTTGGGGCCACATGCAATAAACCCACCACAACTCGGAAACGTTGTCTGGGGAAGACGCCCTGAGCACCCCCAGACCCCGACCCGCTGAGCGCCCGGCTCAGCCACGCCACTCGCTGGGGAGCATCCCGGCTTCCCCTGGGATGGCAGGGCTGACCGCGAGCCGCCCTCACCAGGTTGCCCGGCGCAGAATTGCTAGCCCAGGAAAGGACCGAGGTCAGGACACAAAGCACAGTTTCTGCTGAGTGTGTGTTGCTTTCCCACCGTCATGAAGTCGAAAAGTTGTCCCTCAGCCAAGCTGGGGTCCACCTGTAATCCAGGGGTCAGTGTGGGCTTGACTCAGGGAAGCAAGGGGGCTTGGCGGGGCGGTCTGTGTCCTTGGGTTCCCTCTGCTGACCTCTCTGCCCGTTAGGGGCTCCCATGATCACAGGGTGCAGGGCTCACAGGGACAGCTGTGCTCTCTGGCCTCAGGAGCACCCACCACCGACCCCAGCGGGGCCCTCAAAGGTCAGGGCAGGAAAATCACTCTGTCCCCACTTGGCCCGCAGAGGGCAGGCTGGGTGGAGGGACCCGGGGGGACTGCCTGGGAAGGCCTGCTCCGACAGAGGCCACGGCCTCCCAGAGATGGTGGGGTGAGGGGTCCGGTTGGCAGCCACTCCCAGGAAGTGTCCCCTACGCCCCCGGGGACTGCCACAGCTTGCTCACACAGCCCCACTGCAGCACCCGCCTCCTCCCTCCTGGGTGCGGGCACCGTGCCAGCCCCCGTGAACCAGGAGAGAAGCCACTGCAGCCCAGGGGCCAAGCCCTGGAGGGAGTGAGCAAGGGGCACCTCCTGTGGGGAAGGCCTCTGGGGCCAGCCACTGTTGTCTGTCTCGTGGACTCTTTACTTTGTGCCCTTATGCCCACGCCTAGTTCCCCTGTGTCTCCGTCAGCTGACCCACTGCTGTGACCAAAAGACTGACAAGAGCAAGTGGAGGAGGAGAGGTTAACTTGGGGCTCATGGTCCCAGCGTCTCAGTCCTTAGGCGGCCAGCTCCGTTGCTCTGGCCCAAGGTGAGGCAGAACATCATGGTGGAGTGTGGTGGGGACAGTGGCTCCGGACTCGGCTACCAGGAAGCAGAGAGAGCCTGCGACCAAGGAGCAAGGCCCCAGGGACCCACCTGCTCCAGCCACACCCAGCTGCCTGCTCCGCCCAGGCTGTCCCTGTCCGGGGTCAGTGCCCTGGCAGGGCACGGCTCCCGTCATCAGCCACTTCACCTCTGACCCTCCTTCCCTTGGCACCCATGAGCTCTGTTCTTTCTCTACACCTTTATTTGACTCATTTATGTCTCTGTGGTGCTGAGGATGGAACCCAGGGCCTTCCACGTCTGGGCGAGTGCTCTACCGCTGACCCCAGCCCCGGCCCCCCCACGTGAGCCGTTGGGACACCTCACATCTCACCACGGTGCCCTGTAGCCCCCTCCATCGCTGTGGCCCATTTGTTACAGGCGGTGACCCCCTCTTCACTCACCCTCCTCGGTCTCTACCCCGCACGCTCTGCTGTCCCGGGGTCCCACGGGCCATCCAGTCGTCACAGCTCCCTGGACTCCTCCTGGCTGGGACACTGTCTCAGACTCTGTTCTGATTTTGATGATCCTGAAAGTTTTGAGGAGTGACAGGATTTTATAAATGTCCCTCCGTTGCCATCTGTGCCCTGTTTTCCTCAGGGCCAGACTGAGGCCGTGGGCTCTAGGAGGAGGCTACGGAGCCCTTCTGACCGCATCCTGTCCAGGTCACCTGCCATCCGTACGACTGGCCGCTGTGGGTGACTGACCACGCCCACCGGGACTCCGCTCTGGGACTGTCCCTTCCTTTCCCAGGCCCTGGGAAGGAGGTCAGGATGGTGGCTTCTCTCCATTTAGGGAAAAAAAAAATCACATATATATAAAAGCACCATGAGAAGTTGACTCCACTGTTCCCACAGCGCAGACCTCTTTGGATCTTGGTGATGTACACGCAGCGTGAACTTGGCCGTCTTAGCCACTGAAGGTAACGTGAAGCCCACTAGGACCCAGTGTCCACCCAGAACGCTTTATTTTAATAGTTAGCTATGTTTTAGCTGTAGTTGGACACATGCCTGGGTTTCATTTATTTCTATGTGGTGCTGAGGATCGAACCCGGGGCCTCGCACGTGCCGGGCTCTACCGCTGGGCCCCAGCCCAGCCCAGCCCCACCCGGAACGCTTTGCACCTTGCAGAACGGAAGCCCCCGGAAGCCCGCACCCAGGAAACACTGCCTTCTCCGGCCGGCCCCTGGCGACCCCGTCGGCTTCCTGTCTCCGTGAGCTGGACGGCGGCCCAGGACAGGGACGGTGCCCCGCTCACCTTTCCGCCCAGCCGCTCGCGCGGTTCAGTATTTCCTTCCCTTCGTGGCTGGGCGGTCCCCTGGATGGAAGGACCACATCTTGTCCATCTGTCCGTCTGTCAGTGAACGTCTGCTGCTCCCACCCTTTGGTTGCTGGGCACATGCAGCCGTGAGGTTGATTCCTCAGGGTCCACTCTAGGAGCGAAGCTGCTGGCCACGTGGTCACGCTCCATTTAGCGTTCTGAGGAGATGTTGGGCAGCTTTCCGCCGTGGGTGGGGGTCTTAGGTCCCGCCAACAGTGCAGGAGGACTGACCCCTCGTGTCCTCGGCAGTGGGAGGTGACGTTGTGTTCCGGGTGAGTCGGTGCGCCTTTTTAATGTTCTTACAATTCTATTTATTTTGGGGGGAGGTGTCCAGGATGACATGCTGCGTCCGCCCCCATCTCTAGGTGGCAGCCCTAGCTGAGGACGTGGTGGCATTGGAGATGGGGACTGGGAGGCGACTGGGTGCGATGGTTGCGAGGGTCATGGCCTGTGGCAAGAGGAAGCCGGAGGGCTCATCCCCTCCTGCGGGCACACACAGGGACAGCTAGAAGGGACGTCACAGCTGGAGTCTCCCGTCTCCCCCAGGGAGGGTCCTTGCCAAGAGCCACAGTGGCCAGCACTGGAACTTCAGCCTCCAGAGCCGTGACACATCAATGCTGTTGCTTAGGCCACTGGCCCCTGGGATCCCACCCTGAGCTGAGCAGGCGGGTGGTTCAAAGCTCACAAGGCACAAAACACATCAGTGAAACCTCCCTCCGGCCCACCCACACAGGTCCCTCGGGGAGGGGACATTTGTACTGAGACCCACCACAAGACAACTGGTCTCACGAGAGGGTGTTCCAAGCAGCAGGAAAAGCACGTGCGAAGGCCCAGCCGTGGGCTAGAGGCTCAGGAGCTGGGAGGCTTCAGGGTGGCCGGGGAGGAATGGCCACCGAGAGCCTGGGCCTGGCGATGGGGGGCAGCAGCCCCCCGGGGCCTCCCAGGGGCCTTGGAGGCCGCACGCGGTGGTGATCGACGCAAGAGCACGGATCCAGACCGCAGTGTGCATCCGGCTCCATCCTCCCTCGGGGCAGGACACCCCTCCCCCTGGCGGGTTTCCAGAGCCCGTGAGGAAAGCCCCACCCCTGACTCGGGTCTCTGTGACACCCCCAGAGCCATGCCTGGCGCATGAGGCCGCTCCCGGCCTCATCATCCCAGGGCAGATGCGCCCGGCACTTCACACTCTGGGGGGCAGTGTCCAGTGGGAGAGGAGAGCCGCTGCTCCAGCGTCTGCTTCACCTGGGCCCCCAGCAGACCTGCCCTGTGTCTCGCTGGCCAGACGCTTTGCCACTCTCCAGCTCTTGAACCTCAGAGGCCAGAGAAATGGGTCAAGAAGGCCAGAGGCCCAGAGGGCCCAGTGTCAGCCAGGCAGCGCCCCAGAGCTGACCTGTGGTCAGGGGGCCCCCTCAGAGGTGTCCAAGGTGCTACTGCTGCATGGGCCTGCTCTAGGGGGACAGAGCAGCCTGTGACTGGACGGCCTGTGCAGCCCCAGCACCTCCGCAGGAGTCTGAAGGTCCGTGGCACTAAGTCAGCAGGGACCCAGGGCTCGGCTGAGAGTGGACCTGAGCCCAGGGGCTGGGTGACCTGTGCAAGCACCTGCCAGGTATGGCTTCCCAGGGGTCCACGGCCAGGCAGGGCTAGGGAGGGAGCAGCCTGGTCCTCGTGACCCCCAACACGTGAATCCTGGGGTTGGGGTCCTGACACCAACGTGACCTCCAAGGCAAGTCCCTCAGGGTCTGGCCTGCGTCTCCACATAATGCTCCTCAGATGTCACCCTCCAGGTCTCCAGCCTCCACCAAGGCCCGAGGCCATCAGAAGCTGCTTTGAGAGGTGCCCTGGGAGCTCGGGCCTGCCTGGGCAGAGATGTGCCCAGCCAGCAGGCCGCGCCAGCTCCCGGGAAGACAGCCCGCCCCTCAGCAGCCTGCTCGGGACACCGGTCTCCCTGGCTGGCCGTGGAACCGTCCCAAGACCCCACCCAGCCATCTCCTTCTCCAGCAAGCCTCCCCAGCCCTGGGCGGTGAGGTCCTGTAGAATCTCCAGCCTGGGGAACAGAGTGAGGAGTTACATCTGACTCAAAAGCCACTTCAGACTAGCCAAGCAGAAAAGGAAGTGTATTAATTCTTACAGCTGCCAAGTCCAGGGTATCCTTCAGGCGTGGCTGGATCCAGACAGGACCAAGGGGCAGCATCTCTTTGCTTTAGTTCTACCTCATGGCAGGTCTGGGCCAACATCCCCCCTGTTAGCAACCGTGGCAGAGCCTGAGGTTCTCTGTACAACAGTTTTAACCAGAGTTTCACAATTGGGTCTCCCTGGCTGTGGGTGAGCTGGTTCAGGTCACATGTCTATCCCCAAAACATGAAGGACTGAGTTTAGCTCTGCTGGGCTACATGGCATGAGGATGGGATGACGGGGCAGTCATCGCTGGCCACACAGCTGGCCATGGCATCCTTGCTGGCTCCTCAGGAGATGACTGCTTCACGGGCAGGGACGGCGCCCCCTAGTGTTGCCTGCAAAGGCCAGCACACAGCAAGGGTCACAGTAGACACACTTTGGTTTTCTCAGGGCATTGGCACGTGCTGTTCACCCTGCTAGGAACAGCCCACCCAGCCGGCCCTCCTCCCCACCTCCTAGGACTGCCTTGCTATGTGGGACTGGGATCTTAGTAATCCTGTTTAGACACACACTAGACTGTCATTCTATCCTCCCTGCCTCTCTCCTCTTCTCTTTCTATGCTCCGCCCTAGGGAAATTCTTCAAATCTCTTCTCCAATTCACTGATTCTCTCTTCAGCTGTTTAATCCATGGAGTTTATAGTTTCAACATTTAATTTTGATTTGTAAAGTCTCTGTGGTTCTTATTCAAATATGATCTTTCTTTAGCAGACTCTTCTTTTTGATCTTTTTTCTTTCTTTTTCTTTTTTGAACTGGGAATTGAACCCAAAGTTTCTTCACCACTGAGCCACATCCCCAGCCCTTTTTATTTTATTTATTTTTTTGGGGTACCAGGGATTGAACTCAGAGGCACTCTGATGAGACCAATAAGCCTCATCTCCAGTTCTATTTATTTTTATTTTTATTTTTTTATTTAGAGACAGGGTCTCACTGAGTTTCTTAATGCCTCGTTTTTGCTGAGGCTGGCTTTGAACTCACGATCCTCCTGCCTCAGCCTCCCAAGCCACTGGGATCACAGGTTGATCTTCTTTCTAATTCTGTCTTTTACTTTTCTATTTCAAATATCCAAACATCTGAATTCTCAGGGGTCCACACCTGTTCGCCATGTCTGTTGACTCTCATGGGCCGTGTTTCTTTGAGTCTGGTCTTTTCCTTTTTATGGCAAGTTCATTTTTGGTTGCACTTCACCAGTGAGAATCCTGAAGGCCTCAGTGGGTCACTGACCTCCAGAAGGGACCCTCCATTTCCTTCTGCTGGTTTCCAGCTGGTGTGGACCCTCAGGGCCTGCTCTTGATCTGGGACCGTTTGAGGTAGGATGGGGTCTCACTGTCTAACTTCACGCTGGGAGAGGGAACAGCGTCTCAGGGAAGTCACCCTTTTACTGCTCCCACCCAGAGCTCTGAGGCAGACTCCTGGGGCTCCCCGGGGGCTCCCTATGGGGACAGGCAGGTTGGGGGACGTTTTTGGTCCTGTCCCTTCCCCTCTGCTGGGCACTTTGTTGCCCAGGGAAATGCAGGCGGCCGGTGTCCCTGGTTCCGCTGTCTTTGGGTAGTTGAGTGTGTTCTGGAAGGGGGGGCCTCTGAGCTGGGCAATGGGGTGGTGTCCACGTGTGGACTCTGCCCACGGTCAGGTAGCCGATGCGTTTCAGGGCGTCTGCTCACCATGCTGCCAGCAGGGTCAGCTTGTCACTGGCTCGGGCGTGGGGTCCTTGTGCTGACGTGCTCGGCTCGGGCAGGACTCAGAGAGGAGGCTCCTTTCTGCGGCCAGCGCTGGGGACAGCTCTCAGGCTGAGGCACGCCTCTGCCAGCTTTGGGCCCTGCAGCAGCACCCCTTGCTGTGATCCCCCCGGCACTTCTGAGGACCCGGGGGAGGCCAGGGACTGGCCTGCTGCAGAGCGGGCAGAATGGTGGGCACCGGGTGGACGTGCGGGCGCCCTGCAGGTGGTGGCGTGTAGGGGACAGGCCATCTGTGCTCCTGAGGTCTGCAGCCCTCCCGCCCTCCCCTCCCATCTCGGGCACACAGCCCCACTCTGTCCACACCCAGCCGGCCCCGGCCAGCCTTGCTTGGACCTGAATGTCTGTGCCCATGGCAGCTGCCTCCTCCCCGAAGACGGCCTGACCTGATCATCCCAGGAGCGTCCACTGCTCTCTCCTCTGGGCTGACCTCTGCTCAGGGCCACATGGTGCGGGGAGCTGGTGTGGACCCTCAAGGGCTATTGTGAGGACAGATGGACGTGGGCAGTGGGAACACCTACCCTGCCCTGAGTGTGCAGTGTCTTTCCTGAGGCTGGAACGCCCAGCTCCGGGCCCATCCCTTAAGCCCCCGCCCGCCATTTGGACTGACCCAACTGCCCTGCCCAACGTGGACCTGACCACACTGGAGACCCGTGTGGCGGTGGGATGTGAGGTGTCCCCCAAAAGCTCACGTGCGGGATGATGTGCGAGGGCTCGAAGGGGAAATGATAGGTTGAGAGGGCCTTGACCCGTCAGTGAGCTGACCCCCCGATAACCGAGGGGTCGCTGGAGGCAGGTGTGTGCTGGAGGAGGGTCCCCGAGGACGTGCCTTGGGGGTGTGCATTGTATCTGGAAAGTGGAGTCTCTGCTTCCTGATCCCCACGTGGGCAGCTTCCCTGGGCCACACCTTCCCTCCGTGATGTCCGGCCTCACCTGGAGCCTGAGCAGTGGAGCCCGCTGTCCCTGGACTGAGACCTCTGGAACCGGGAGCCCCCAGAACTCTCCCTCCTCTACACTGTGCTGGTCACAGCGACTCAACACCCGGAGAGTTCAGCAAGTGTCCCCGAGACAGAGGTTGGTCGGGACCCCCGAGGACCTCCTGGGCTGGACGGGGCTGCTGGGCTACATCCTGCCCCATCCTGCCAGGTACTCAGCCTGGGATCCTGTCCCCACCACTGCTCCTGGTCACTGCCCTGGGGATATCCCAGGGTCACTGCTGGGCTGCTTCTCAGGCTCTAGGTGGGCGCCCTGGATTCCATGGGGATCCTGACCTGGGCCCAGTACGTGAGTGGAACTGTCCCAGGGACACCCCCCTTCTCTCACTGGAGGCAGAGTTCCAGGCCCTCTGGTCTCAGCCCTACTGCCCCTTGAGCCCAGCTGCCCAGCTGCCCTGGTGCCCGGCCTGGTTCCATGCGGCTCCCACAGGTCCTGATGGGCCAGCCTCGCTGGTCCCCCAGCCTTGGCCTCGCTGCCCAGAGGAGAGCCACACAGCCCTCTGGGCTCAGCCAGAGTCCGCACAGGCTGTGGTGGCCGCAGGTCCCGTGGGGGAGGTGGTCAGCTCTGCCCTGCTCATCCTTGCTCTGCGCACAGATGGACACACCATAGGCTCTAGTGGGGTGGGATGGGGGCTTGAAGCCGCTGTGCTCACCAGAAGATTCCCCACCTTGACAGGAAACCATTCGAGACTCCTGACCAGAGGGACACAAAGGGTGGCCAAGATGGAGCCTGGCACAGGTAGGAATGACGAGGGGTGGGCTTGGGCAGCAGAAGCCACCAGTGGGGGCATTTGCAAAGTTCTCTGGGGTGAGTGGCCAGGGAAAGAGGCTTGAGTCAGTTCCTGCTGTGTGACCCTCAGCAAGCCACTCAGCCTCTCTGAGCTCTGCACCTGGTGGTATCGCCATGATAAGAGGCTTCCATCCAGGTCAGTGCCCTCCTCGTCCACACAGGTGGGAACAGAGACAGTCTCCTGTGCTCCTCAGGGACACAGCTGCAGTGGCAGAGCTGGAACTCAGAGACAGGAAGCTTCTGCCGAGGGCAGCTGCCCACGGCGGCTCCTCACTGCCCAGCCCCCCTGGGGCCAGGGAGCAAGACCAAGGTGGGGGTCGGATGCCTGTGAGACAGCGGGTCTTCAGGACCACGGTCCCCAGTAGGACCCCCACGGGATCTGCTGGATGAGCCTCTGAGAGGTCCACCTGACCCGCCCACTCTGAGCCCCACATCTTCTGGGGAGAACACCTCCTGGGCCCGTGCTCTGGGCACCACCCATGGTGGGCGTTTGTGTCCATGGTCAGTGGGTCCCGGCCCACACTGGCTCTCCTCTCGTCCCCCTGCCCTGACTGCACAGCTGACCGGCCAGAGCCCTCTACAGCCTGGCACCCAGCAGAGGCGGGCTCCGCCTGCAGCCCCTGCCTCCCGGCGGCATCCCCAGGCCCTGTTCGCCCATTTCCCTCAGCAATACCCCTCCCCACCCGCTCCCCCCTGCCTGCCTACAAGCCCAGTCACCCTGGAAAGCTTTATCAGCTGTCCCCCTCCTCATCAGGGAGACCTCACTTTCCCTCCAGGCCACCCTAGGCCTTGGTTTTACCCCACCAGATTTTCACTAGTGTCTGTGTGTGTCTGCCTCCCCCCAGAAACAGAACTCAGAAACAGGAGGCCAGCACGGGGCGTGGCCTCGACGGAACAAGGCAGCCTCTCCCCACTGGCCTCCAGGGAGCGTCACTCAGGAACCCTGGTGGAGGTCTGGGGGTCCCAGTGGAACCCTGCAGAAAGCCAGTCTTGGCAACGTTCCCAGCCTCCACTCTGGAACAAAGGCCCCGTTTCCTCCAAAAAAGATGGGCCAGGGTGACGAGGATGAACCCGGGCACCTGCCTCCCATGACAGCACAGCCGCCTGCTCTGGCCGAGGCGTGTGCACTGGCTTCTCAGCAGAACCAGCTCCCACACAGTGGGGGACCCAGCGCCCCCAGAAGGGGAAAAGACAAGGGTCCCCGGGAACCTCCAGGAAGGAACGTGGCCCTGCCAAGACTGACTTCAGCCTCTGCAGCAAGCCCACGAGGCTGACCGCCCACCTAGGACCACGGTGGCCATCTCTAAGGGGTCAGCTACTGAGCTCGTGGGGTTTGTTACATCGGAGCAGCAACAAGTGCACCGCGCCTCCCGGGGGACACGGGCTCCCAGAGAGGAGAAGGATCTGCCCAGCCTACCGCCAGGCCTCCTGACCACTGCCCAGGGTCCCCGCCCGGCCCACCCTCCTTGGAGGACAGGACAGAGGCACCAGCAGACAGGCAGTGCCGGCCCTGAGAGGCCAGAAGCTGCGGAGCCCGTCGCTGTGCGGCCTCAGGGAGCTGGGGGCCGGGGCGGGGGGCTGTGTGCGGAAGCCAGGGAGCAACTGTGGCAGAAGTTGGAACTTGTAGGGAGCCAGTGCCCTGCCAAGAGCCCCCTGGGGTCCCCACGTCCCTGCAAAGCAGGTGGTGGCAGGCGCCCACATCAGCCTGGGTCCAGAGAGCACCCAACACACGCCCTCGTCCCCGGAGGCCAGCCAGGGCTCTGCCTATTTATAGAACCCTCATCCATCTTCCTGCCTTTGATCAGGGAGGGGCTGGGCTCCTAGGAGGCTGCAGATCTTGGCAGGCCCTGCCTCTGCGGCAGGGCGGCCGGGCTCCCCTCAGCTGGGGTGGGGCCAGCGCTGGGGCTGGGGAGCACCTGCACAGCGGCAGATGGCCTCAGGCCACCTCAGGCTGACCGGCAAGGGAGGCTCCTGGTGGAAGGGCTTCCGTGGGCCCTTCTCCCCCGCAACTCTGGCAACCAGCCATCTTGGCGTCTGTGGCTCTGAGGCTGCTCTCCTGGGAAGCCACTCAGGTCTCGGGTCCTGGGTGCCCTCCCTCCCCCCACCTGCCATCGAAAGTCCAAGGTTCCCACGCTCCCTGGAGTTTGGGCTCCCTCCTTCAGAAGAGCCCCGCGCCCAGGCCCTGGGGTGGGCACAGAGGCGGCCAGCGCCTTCACTCCCAGGGTCAGGCCCCTCCTGCTGGACGGTGTTCCATGCCCACCCCCACTCCCTCCGGGTGACCAGAGCCAGGAGGCCTGTGTTCTGTCCCCGACACGTCCCCGACACGTCCCCGACACGTCCTCGAAGGGCAGCTGGACCCTGGGGGAGTGTGAGTGTCAGGGGCTGGGACTCCTGGGCTTCCTCAGCAGCTGCTCCCTGGACTCGAACCCTTCAAGGCATTCGCCTCCCTGCTCCATGCCTTGTCCCCTGGGGCTGGACACCAGGGCTCTGGGAGGGGACTCTTGGAAAGGGGGAGGCGGAGCATCAGGACTGGCTGGCCGACTGTGACCGGGCGCTGCGCGGTTTTCTTTCTTCTTTCTAATTATTTGAAGAGACCCTAGATTTGGGAAAGGTCTTCGCCTGGCCTGAGTCTCGGGGTCTCCCTTGACCGCTGTAGAGCCCCTGGGATAATCCTCCTTGCCCTCGAGCACCTGTCCCTGCCCCCACACCCAGGAAGGGTCTGAACATGGAGTAAGAAGTCAGCCAGGAGCGGGCACAGCCCTCCAGAAGAGGGGCGCACAGATGGGACTGCTGGGGGGACTCTGGGGCCTTTCCATCTCCGCCTCCCCCACGGCCCCCCCTGGGCTGCCGCACACAGTAGGTCTCCTAACTGGGTCCCCAGGTGGGTCCTGATCTGAATCCCTCAGTTCCAAGGGGAGGCTTCCTGCGGAAGCACTGGAGGTGGAGGAAGGGACGGGACTCGCCATGCCGCCAGGCCTCCTGCGAGGCTGCCAGACAGGGTGACCCTTGCTGTCTGTTTCTTTCTCCCCCTCAGGTCCCGCGGGCTTGCTCCCAAACTCCAGCCCCAAGCAGCCATTCCTCCACCCTTCATGGCTCGTCAGCCCCAGGAGGCAGCACGAGCATGGCTCCCTGGCCTCTCCGCCACTTCCAGGAGCCAGGGTGCTGGTCTGGAGGCGCGGGCCTCAGTGCTACCCTCTGTCCTCAGCCCTCCCATCACGTCCTTGGGGGCCTCACACAGCACTCTGCACGCACCCCGGTTCCAAACTCCTCCTGCCCCAGGGCCTTTGCAAGGACTGTGCTTCCTCAGCTGTCTCCCTCAGGCTCTCCCCTCCATGGTCTGGCCAGAGGCCTTCTCAGAGCACCACCCCACAGTCCTGCCACTCTCTCTGTGCTCTTCTGCATGGTACCATTGAACCCAGGGACACTTTACCACCGAGCCTCTTCTGCAGCCCTTTTTATCTAGTTTGCCAAGTTGCTGAGGCTGGCCTGGATCCTCCTGCCTCAGCCTCCCGAAGCCCTGGTGTTCCAGGGGAGCACCCCATGCCAGGCTCTCCCTGGGCTCTTCCTTGTCTTCTCTGTGGTGTGTCCCCTCACCCGTGTCTGTTCTCCCCCAGGACAGTAACCCTGGAGGACTTGGTGCTGCCCGTGTGCACCTTGGTCCTGAATGAGTATCCAGTGAATGAGGGAAGGCCAGTGTGTGGTGGTGGAAGCCAGGCTGAGGGGCTGTGGCCAGTTTGCCACCAGGGCTCCCTGAGCCGCCCAGCGAAGGCAGGATACGGCCCTGGCCAGGGGGGAGCCTGCTGCTGGGGTGTGGCTTGGCACGTGGCTGTGGGGCGGCCGTCCTCCTGTCCAGAAGACTCGGGATGTGCCTGGAGCAGCCTGAAAGCAAGGCCCCTGGCCTCTCTGCCTCACTTGGTCATCCCGACTCAGGACAACCTTAGCGTCCCTCCCCGTGCCCAGTGAGGTCCGAGGAAAGTCCCCAGGGAAAGTCCCCTGCAAGCCATTGATGACAGCACGGTTGTAGCTACAATGCTAAAATATGAAAGTAAAGAAAAATTTCAAAAAGTTTTCCGTGTGCAAGTTTGTCTCGCCTTTTCCCCTACCCAAAAGGAAGGGAGGTTTTCAAAATAATCAAAAAGGGGGAATCAAGCCAAAAACCCATTGACTGGAGGCTGGATAAACCAACCAGGGTGTATCCACAGCACAGAACATTACTGAGCCCGGAAAAGGAGGGATGCATAATTTCATGCCCACTAGCGGCGGCCTGGGAGTAGGGCACTGCTAGAAAGCAGTCAGGCACGGAGGACGAGCCAGCGATTCTGAAACTCCTGGAAGAGGTGCAGCCACAGAGGCAGAGGGGGACCAGTGGTTTCTGGAGGCCGAGGGGGCGGGCTGAGGAGGTGGGGATGACTCTGGGTTTCTTTTTGGGTGATGAAAACGTTCTGGAATCTGATGGTGATCGTTGCACAACTTCGTGTATCTACCTGACAACCCTGAGCTGGGCCTTTAGGAAGGGTAGAGTTCATGGTTTATATAAAAAGGGAAGAGGATGAGTGTTGGGAGGGTGATCGGTCAGCAGTGCCCTACACTGACTGCATGATAGTGTAAGGGGTCGTGCAATACCAGCGGGAACAAGGACCGTGTTGGGCACGGTGGCCTTGGGGAGCCTGGGTGTTTCCACTTGGCTCTGTGGCCACCCAGCTGCGGCCCAAGTGCGGCAGCCAAGCCCTCGGGTGTTTGTGTTGGATTTGGTTCTCCTGGGGAGGGCTGGGAGCGCACTGCCCCCGTGAACTCCGTGCCCTCCTGGTCTTGGTTGGCTGCCAGGTCCCCAGTGGAACCGGGCACCCTCACCCTACAGACAGCCAGGGGCTGAGCACATGGGCAGGAACACGGGCAGTGTGTTCAGGAGGCGTGTGGCTGGCACTGCCCAGGGCAGCGGGTGAGCTCAGAGTCCACACTGACAGGGTGTGCTGCTCTCAGTGCCAGGGCTGCGGGTGGGTCTCTGCCACCAGCCAGGGGTGGGTAGGTACTTTGGGGCAATCTTGCAGGGGTACACATGGCGTTTGGCCACTAGGGGTCAGTGTAGCCCCAACATGGGCCCCTTGCGCACTGGGTGCTTGGTGCTGGTGGGGGCGAGGGGCGCAAGGTGGGTGCTGTGCAGGTGAGGGGCACCTGTCTTCCCTCCCCACCCAGGCCGCCCACAGAGGCACGAGGGCAGTTCTGAACATGAGATCGGCACCTATCACCTGCCTTCACCCCGTTTCGGGTGGGCCTAGGGTTGAAGGGGCAGCTCCTGTGCATGCCAGCAGGGGTCCTGGAGCTTTCCAGAAGCCTCCTGGAGCTTAGACTTCCCCAGTGATGGGCACAGGTGGGTTGGGTGCTGGCATCTCAGAGTCACCTGAGGGAGCTGAGCCCCAGGGAGGGACTTCTCCAGGGCCCAGGGTGGCCACACTCTGCACAGGGGCAGGAATTGCGGCATTATTTGTTTCTGGATGGATTCTGGCACCTTTCAAGCAGAAGAATACTGTCCTTTCTTGTCATGGTGCTCTCCTGGTATCTCAGGGAGGTGCTGATGCAGGAGACGGACTCGATGAGGCTCCAAATCCCCCGGCCCCTCGCTTGGATCAACATCCTAATTAATTCAAGCCTCTGCTTTATTCCATGATTTAACTTCATGATTTTCCATGAGCCAGGCCCACCAAAGGTGGGGGCCTGGGAGGGGCCGCCACCTCTATTCCCTGGGGATCTTCCGAAAAGGGGCAGAGTGGAGCCCCGCCTGGACTTGCCCTGCCGGGTGGTTTCTTAGGGCTCCTCACTGTTTAAAGCCTGGCCCTGGAATGTGCTGTGTACCCAACAATTCTAGGACTCACTGGGGTTCTGGTTTGAGCCCCTGAGGAAAAGCACTCTAAGTTCTCTTAGCTCACATAAGACACTAATAACCTAGAGTTTCTGCATTATTAAAATGAATTCTATTTTTTTTGGGGGGGCAGTATAGGGGATTGAACTCAGGGGCACTCAACCACTGAGCCACACCCCCAGCCCTATTTTGTATTTTATTTAGAGACAGGGTCTCACTGAGTTGCTTAGCGCCTTGCTGTTGCTGAGGTTGACTTTGGACTCTTGATCCTCCTGCCTCAGCCTCCTGAGCTGCTGGGATTACAGGCCTGTGCCACCATCCAGCTTCTGTTTCTATTTTAAAAAACACTCGAGTTCATGTGAAACACTTCAGGCGGGTTGCAAAATAGAAATATCAGACCCAGTTCCCTGAGCTCCTGGGAATGGTGACAGCAGTGATTCCAGGCATATCAAACACCATGGCACAGGGGTGGTGGCACACACTTCTAATCCCAGTGACTTGGGAGGCTGAGGCAGGAGGATCTCAAGTTCAAGGCCAGCCTCAGCAACTAAGCAAGGCCCTAAGCAATGTAGTGAGGTCCTAAGCAACTTAGAGCGACCCTATCAAAAAATAAAAAGGCTGGGGATGTGGCTCAGTGGTAAAGCAACCCTGAGTTCAATCCCTAGGACAAAAAAGTCCCTTCAACCTAGTGTGGGTCCCTAAGTGAGAGTCAGTGAGTCAGTGGGCGGGCCCTGGTCCTTAGAGATGGTGGGCATGTCCTGCTTGGAGCCACCCCACGGCTCATCTAAGGAGAATGGTGGCCTGTGCTGGATGGGGCCACTCCGCATGCCATGTCCCTCCATGGAACCCCATGTTTCCCCTCCCCTCTGTGGGCCTCAGCTCCACTTTGTGTACACATGCTGGTTGGACTGGACCCGTGCCCAGCACAGACCACTTGGGCCACTGGATAAACGCTACAGCTCCTGCTGCTCGCTCCCCGAGGAGAGCAAACGACTGAGCTGTTTACTTGGAATTCGCTGCTGTGCTGGGTAACAGCCGCAGAGAGATGGCGGGAGGGGAGAGGCTAGGGTCCACACAAGCCAGGCCTGCGCCAACCCCTTCATGCAGGGCCTCTCCCATCCTTTGCCAACACTGGGAACCCAGCACCACGGTCACGTTCAGGCAGAATGAGAGGGCAGGTAGGCCTGCGCCAAGCTCACGCTAGTCCAAACGATGCCAACCACTTCAGATTTGTAATTTTACTTTATTTTTTGTACTGGGGATCAACATCAGGGACTTGCTGGGCACACTGGTGCACGCCTGTAATCCCAGCAATTTGGGAGGCTAAGGCAGGAGGATCAAAGTTTGCAAGTAGTAAAACACCCCTGAGTTCAAGCTCCAGTTGTACACCCACACAAAGGAAAGAGAGAAACCAGGGCCTTGCACACACGAGGCACTCTGTCACTGAGCTTTCTGTCCTGTGGATGCCACCGGTCACCTTGCAGCCCCACCAAGCACGGCAGCCCATCTTTCTATAGCACCCCCTCCTCCCTTTAAAACTGTGGACTTAACATGGTGGACCCCACGCTTGCCTGCACCTGGGTGTGAATGGGATCCTCTTCTGTCTCTACCCTTTGCAGATCTCCTGTAAGTGAGGTTTGGCCATGTGTTCCTGTTTGGCCCCTAGGACCAGGAAACGGTGTCTGGGCTGTCCCTGTGGTTACCTTGCAGTCTGCAGGTGTCCTGTTCCAAAGAAAGCATGCCCACACCCGAACCCACTTGCTGTATTTGAATTCTGTTTATTTAAACCCACCCCACCCTATTTGAAACCCTATTACAAAATATGCACTCCTGCGGGTTCTCCCACTTTCCGCTCTCTCCACCCCCTTCAACCCAGCCCAAGTGTTCCTCCCTGGCCTCCAGGCCAGGGGTCCACACTGCCTCCTCAACCTGAACCCCGAGCTCCCCCCATGGGAGTCCAAGTCCAGGCCCTGGGCAGTCTGGGGGGGTCCTGGACCTGTCACATTAGGGGGTGGCCTTTCTCCCTCCCTCCACGCACACATTTCCGGGAAGGACTTGCCAGTGGAAACTCCCTGAATTAAAAAGGTTCCCAAGTAACCGTACCTTAGGTCGCCACCGTTTCCAACGACGAGTAAAACTCGCGGAGCGGAGGAGACACACATGTAGAAACCCGGCCCAGGCTCTAAGGGACCCTGTCTTGGACGCTGAGCTTGGGGCTGTGGCCCAGGAACTGGTCCAGGCGGGAGGTCTCCCCCCTCCTCCACGTCCTACAGGCCCGCCCCTGAGGGGTGCCAAGCCCTAAAGCCTACACCTCTCATCCGGCCGCCCCCAGGGAGTCGCAGATCTAAGGCTCCCTCCCCGTCGTTCCCTGCGGGAGTGGGACGGTGTGTCTCACGCTGTCACAGGCTCTGCTCCGCAGGGACTGCCAGGGGGTGGTCGCTGTTCCACCTGCCCACCCCGCCAGGAAGTGGCCCGCCGCCAGTGGCCTCCAGGGCCCTCATTCCCCAGCACTGCGCTTCAGGAGTAGCTGGTGGCCTGGGGACCGGACGACGAGTGCGCGAATGCGACAAGCTCGCCTCCGCTGTCCCCTCCAAATCCCCACCGGCAACCCAGGTTAATTTTCTTTTCTTTTCAATGTTGCACTTGAATCAAGTGGACTGAATCTGGTTAGCCGCGCTCTGGGTTTCAAAGTGCAGAGAACTTTGTGTGGGGGTCAAGCATGTCAGGCTCGGTTCGCGCCCGGTAGTAAATGTGTAACTGACCCCCCTCCCCCGCAGTCGCAGCTCTTAATGGGGGCTCCCGGCACCTGCGTCACTGTCCGCCCCGGGCCGAACCCGCGCGGCACTGGGGGCCACGGTCTCCGTGGATCGGCCCTACCAGGGTGGGGTGCGAGGCTTTGGACCGCTCCCGCGCGCCCGAAGAGCAGAGCCAGGCCGGGGGTCCCGGCTCCGCCTCTCTGCGCGCGGCTTCCTCGGCCCCGCCCCCGGGGAGGTCCGGTGGGGAGGCCGCCGGGGAGTGGGCCAGGTCCCCCGCCCAACCGGGCCGCGCCCCCGCGTCTCCATAGCGATCATCCCGGCTCGCACCTCGGGGCCGGCTCCCCCCGGGGTAGAACAATAAGCGGCTGGGCGGGGGGCGGGGCGGGGCCGGTCCAGGGGCGGGGAGAGCGCCGGCGGAGGGGCGCGGGCACAGCGCACCGCCCAGGCAGCAGCCGGCCGCCAGGGTCTGCGAGGCGCGCTGCGGCGCGGCCCAGACCGCTCCAGAGCTCAGCCCCCGCCCAGCCTGGGCCCGCCCCGCTTCCCACGCCCGCCGGGCCGAGCCCGCGCCGGGGCCACCTGGAGCCGCCTGGAGCCGCTGCTGCCGCAGGTTGATGCGCGGCGCCCTCCCGGGACGGCGGAGGAGCCATCTTGAAACCAACTTCGCAAACTTTCGCAAAGTGCTTTCGAAGTGGAAGCTGCGGGGAAGGCCGGGCGCGTGGCCTCCGGTGTCACCGTCTGGGCCCCCGGGGAGGCAGGGTGCGGGTCGCTCCGAGGGCCCGGCACCGGGCGCGCGGGAGCCGCCCCCCGGCCACGCCGGGTGGATGCGGAGGTGCGCCGGGTGCATGGATTGTGCTCGGGCGCCCGGCTCGGGCTCCGGGCTATGGCGCCGTCGCCACCGCCCGTGCTGCCCGCGCTGGTGCTCCTGGCCGCCGCCGCCGCCGCCCTGCCGGCTCTGGGGCTACCAGCGGCTGCTTGGGAGCCGCGCGTGCCCGGCAGGGCCCGCGCCTTCGCGCTCGGGCACGGCTGGACCTACGCATTGGATGCTGCGCGCACGCCCCGGGCATTGCGGGAACTGCTGGACGTGAGCCGCGATGGGCTGCTGACCGGACGGCGGCGCGGGCTGGACGCGGGGCTCCGGGGATGCGCGCGATTGTTGGGGCGGCCGCTGCCGCTGCAGGTCCGTCTGGCCTTGCCCGGCGCCCAGACGGCTCAGAGCCCGCTGCTGCTGGCGAGCACCCCCGGCCCCGGCTGCGGCTCCCGGCTGCGGCGCCCATCGGTTCCCGGTGCGGAGCTGCGAGCGTGGACACTGCGCTCGGTTCCTGGGCTCAGCAGGGCTATCTGCTTCCCGGATCCTGGCGGCAGCGCGGCTCCATTTCACTCTGTGCTCACAGTCCTTACCACCTTCCCCGCCTGCAGCTGCCCACCGCGACCTGGGTCCCGTTGCCCGCGCCGCCTCCTTTGCCTGCCGCAGGGCGACTCGGCCAGCCTGCGCTTCCTGTGCGCCCTGCAGCGTGCGGCCGGCGCCGTCCAGGTTGAGCAGGGTTTGGAGATGACCGCGGGGACGCCCTCAGCGTCGTCGCCGCCGCCGTCTCCAATCCGGCCCCAGGCCAGGGCGGGAGCGGCGCGGCGGGCCCGGCGGGGCGCCGGCAGCAGCACGAGTCCGCAGTTCCCGCTGCCCAGCTACCAGGTGTCGGTGCCCGAGAATGAGCCAGCGGGTACATTGGTCATCGAACTGCGTGCGCTGGACCCCGACGAAGGTGAGGCGGGGCGCCTGACCTACCAGATGGAGGCGCTATTCGACGAGCGCTCCAATGGCTACTTCCTCATCGACTCTGCCACGGGCGCGGTGAGCACGGCCCGCGCGCTGGACCGTGAGACCAAGGACACTCATGTGCTCAAGGTTAGTGCCGTGGACCACGGCTCGCCACGGCGCTCGGCCGCCACCTACCTCACCGTTACAGTTAGCGACACCAACGACCACAGCCCGGTCTTCGAGCAGTCTGAGTACCGCGAGCGTGTGCGTGAGAACCTCGAAGTGGGCTACGAGGTGCTGACCATTCGTGCCACCGATGGTGACGCGCCCTCCAATGCCAATATGCGATACCGCCTGTTGCAGGGTGCGGGTGGCGTCTTTGAAATTGATGCACGCTCGGGAGTAGTGCGCACCCGGGCAGTGGTGGACCGGGAGGAGGCGGCCGAGTACCAATTGCTGGTGGAGGCCAACGACCAGGGACGCAACCCAGGCCCGCTCAGCGCGACGGCCACGGTGCACATCTTAGTGGAGGATGAAAACGACAACTACCCTCAGTTCAGTGAGAAGCGTTATGTGGTTCAGGTGCCCGAAGACGTGGCGGTGAACACGGCTGTGCTGCGTGTGCAGGCCACTGATAGGGACCAGGGTCAGAACGCTGCCATCCACTACAGCATCATCAGTGGGAACCTGAAGGGGCAGTTCTACCTGCATTCTCTGAGCGGGAGCCTGGATGTGATCAACCCGCTGGATTTCGAGGCCATCCGGGAGTATACACTTAGAATCAAGGCCCAGGATGGGGGCCGGCCTCCCCTCATTAATTCCTCGGGGCTGGTCTCTGTGCAGGTGCTGGACGTTAATGACAACGCGCCCATCTTTGTGAGCAGCCCCTTCCAGGCTGCTGTGCTGGAGAACGTGCCTCTGGGCCATTCGGTGCTGCACATTCAGGCGGTTGATGCAGATTCCGGTGAGAATGCCCGTCTGCGCTATCGCCTGGTGGACACAGCCTCTGCTGCCCTGGGGGGCAGCAGTGCTGGCTCTGAGGACCCCACCTCCACCCAGGACTTCCCTTTCCAGATCCACAATAGCTCGGGTTGGATCACTGTGTGCGCAGAGCTGGACCGGGAGGAGGTGGAGCATTACAGCTTTGGGGTGGAGGCAGTGGACCATGGCTCGCCGCCCATGAGCTCTTCTGCCAGCGTGTCCATCACGGTACTGGATGTAAATGACAACGACCCAGTGTTCACCCAGCCCACGTACGAGCTGCGATTGAATGAGGATGCAGCTGTCGGGAGCAGCGTGCTGACCCTGCAGGCCCGCGATCGCGACGCCAACAGCGTGATCACCTACCAGCTCACAGGTGGAAACACGCGGAACCGCTTTGCGCTCAGCAGTCAGAGCGGCGGCGGCCTCATCACCCTGGCGCTGCCGCTGGACTATAAGCAGGAGCGGCAGTACGTGCTGGCGGTGACCGCGTCCGACGGCACGCGTTCGCATACCGCGCAGGTCTTCATCAACGTCACTGACGCCAACACGCACCGGCCGGTCTTCCAGAGCTCCCACTACACCGTGAGTGTTAGTGAAGACCGGCCGGTGGGCACCTCCATTGCCACCATCAGTGCCACCGACGAAGACACGGGGGAGAATGCCCGCATCACCTACGTGCTGGAGGACCCTGTGCCACAGTTCCGCATTGACCCTGACACTGGTACCATCTACACCATGACGGAGCTGGACTATGAGGACCAGGCTGCCTACACACTGGCCATCACTGCTCAGGACAACGGCATCCCTCAGAAGTCAGACACCACCTCCCTGGAGATCCTCATCTTGGATGCCAATGACAACGTACCCAGGTTTCTGCGAGATTTCTACCAGGGTTCTGTCTTTGAGGATGCTCCCCCATCTACCAGCGTCCTCCAGGTCTCTGCTACTGACCGGGACTCGGGCCCCAATGGCCGCCTGTTGTACACCTTCCAGGGCGGGGATGATGGTGATGGGGACTTCTACATTGAGCCAACCTCAGGTGTGATCCGTACCCAGCGCCGACTGGACCGCGAGAATGTGGCCGTGTACAACCTCCGGGCTCTGGCTGTGGATCGAGGCAGCCCTGCTCCCCTAAGTGCCTCTGTGGACATCCAGGTGTCTGTCTTGGACATTAATGACAACCCCCCTGTGTTCGAGAGGGACGAACTGGAGATGTTTGTAGAAGAGAACAGCCCAGTGGGGTCGGTGGTGGCGAGGATACGGGCCAGCGATCCCGACGAAGGCCCCAATGCCCAGATCATGTATCAGATCGTGGAGGGCAATGTGCCAGAGGTCTTCCAGCTGGACCTGCTGAGTGGGGACCTGCGAGCCCTGGTCGAGCTGGATTTTGAGGTCCAGAGAGACTATGTGCTGGTGGTGCAGGCCACATCGGCCCCGCTGGTGAGCCGGGCCACAGTGCGTGTCCACCTCCTGGACCAGAATGACAATCCACCCGAGCTGCCGGACTTTCAGATCCTCTTCAACAACTATGTCACCAACAAGTCCAACAGCTTCCCCACTGGTGTGATTGGCCGCATCCCAGCCCACGACCCCGACCTGTCGGACAGCCTCAACTACACCTTCCTGCAGGGCAATGAGCTGACCCTGCTGCTGCTGGACCCGGCCACGGGTGAGCTGCAGCTCAGTCGGGACCTGGACAACAACCGGCCGCTGGAGGCACTCATGGAAGTGTCTGTGTCGGGTGAGTGGCCGGGGGAGGAGGAGGGCCTTCCTGTGGGCTGCCTGGGGAGCTGCGGGGACCCGCCAAGGGCCCCGCTGGGCCTGCTAGGGCCCATTCAGGCAGGGCCTGGGCAATTCTTGGGGCCTGTGCTGCCTCTAGTTGCAGGTTGGGGGCATGCTGCCCGCCAGGCCAAGCAAGGGGGGGGAGGCAGCACTGCGCTTTCCTCAGCAGTTTTGCCAGGAGCAGGCCTGGGCTTCTTCAAGTTCAAGTGCAGGCTTTCTCAGGGCTTTTTCCAGTTGTGCTATTAAAACCTGGCCTCAGGGTTATCTGGGTCGTCTGGTGTGCTGAGTGATGTCCTTGAGTCAGCCGCTGCAGGCAGGGTTGTCTGAGGGATCAAAGGTCACTGCCTGCCCCATGTGCCAATTAGTCCCCGGGTGGGACCGTTGGAAATTGCTGATGTTCCCTGAGTCACCCTGTAATACGGCTGGAGTTCCCTTGGTCTGCTTTTCTGTCTCCTCCAGATAATAACAGCTCGGCTCACGTGTGTGTTCCCGCCTCTGTGTAGCTCTTTGAAACGTGTAACTCCGTTTGATCTTGGCTCCGGCTCTGGACGCGGGCTTGTAATTTGGGAGTTATTTCAGAGGCCGCCCATCTTAGTGGTGGATCCGGTATGAGAACCTTGCTTGCCTGCTCTGGGCTGGGGGGCAGAAGGGAGAAGCGTCTCAGCTCAGCTACCAGTGGCTTCCGCAGGCCCTGCATGCTGCTGACCCTGCACTTGCAGGGGGCC